CCTCTTACATGATAGACAGGCGCTATACCTGTGAACTGTGACCTCTTACATGATAGACAGGCACTATACCTGTGAACTGTGACCTCTTACATGATAGACAGGCGCTATACCTGTGAACTGTGACCTCTTACATGATAGACAGGCACTATGCCTCTGAACTGCGGCCTCAGCCCTGCTGTTGTTTTTTGTTTTAAGGGGGGTTGGTGCACATGTGTGGAAGTCAGAGGACAACTTGCAAGGGTTGAGTCTTCCCTTCCACCAGATAGTTATTCTTTTATATATGAAAGCAATATGACGATTTTACTCAATTTGGGAAAGTTTGATGTTATTATTTGTAGTCTTAAAATAACTGTGGTTTTGTGTATGTGTGCACACACGTGCAACACTAGGCATATAAACAGACTACTAAAATTTATATTGATAATTTCTGATGTGTGAAAAATACTAGTTTTGTTTGATTCTTATTAGTGGATATTGTAATTTTATATTGAATTCAACAAGTGAAAATTTGTGTCCTATTTTTATTTACATTTTTTAACTAGAGAGCTGGATTATCTTTTCAGATATTTGTATATTATTTGTGTTTCCTCTTTATAAAGATCTAATTTTTAAAATGTTGTGTTTTTGTGGGGCTTGGAGTCAAACCCAGGGCTTCTCACCTGCTAGGCAAGTGCTTCCCCACTTTCTCCACCCCTAGCCTGATGTATTCATTTGACTGTTTACATGAATTTCTTGAGGGATACTTATGTCTCAGTCAGTGTTCTGCTGCTGGGAAGGGACACCATGGCCAAGGCTACGCTTGTAACAGAAAGCAGTTACAGAGGTTAGTCCATTATCATGGAGGGAGCACGGTGTGCAGGCAGATGTGGTGCTGGAGAAGAAACAGCTGCATCCTGACCTGCAGAGAGAGGGAGACACTGGCCCTTGCTTAGGTTTTTGAAGCCTCAAAGCTCACAGCAACACACTACAAGGCCACACCTACTCCAGCAAGGCCAGGCCTCCTCACCTAATCCTTTGAGATGGATCCACTCCCTGGTGAGAGATTCAAGTATGGGAGCCTGTGAGGACGTCCCATCCAAACCACCACAGCATCTTCTTTATTTTGCTTTCAGATATTTTTAGATTGTTTGTCATGACTTTAGGTTTGGGAGGAAAAAACAAACATGTTCCTTTGTCTTTAAGTTACAGGAAGACATCAGGAAGATGGGTTTGATTAAAACCCCAAAGACATATCATGAAACTTCTTAGATGCCACCTTCAGGGAATTTGGGTTTAATCTTGAGGAAACTGGGGTGCGACTGAAATTTTCTTTTTTTAAGCAAGTAATAGGATCAGTTTGGAAAGATTCTTCCAAAAACCTCAGGCATAAAGGGATAGAGTTGAGGGCTGGAGGCCAGGGGCCAGCAAATGGGCTTCAGAGCAATAATCTTCAAGAACAGTCTAGAAATGAGAGCCTAAGTGAGGGAGGGAGACCTGGGATGAGGGAAGGTGCCTGGGAGGAGTCAGCAGGAAGACTTCCCGTTCAGGCATCTGGGTGAGCGAGTGGTGCCCTTCACTGAGATTAGCTGATGTGGGGCACACAAGGCTCTTCATGGCTGCTCAGCGTGGGGCATTTGAAACGCCAGTGGGACTAATTGTGATTTTGTATACTGATGTTTGTCTGTTTGCCAAATGCAGCATTAGACATTTTCCTTTTCTGATAGTAAAGTTTCTTTGGTTTGTTGTAGGAAACCGTGGCTCAGGGACTGAAGGAGGGCCAGTTTAGCAAACAGAAATGTTCCTGTGTGTTTCAGAGTCTCCTGCCCCGCTACAGCCCAGTGGTGAGTAGGGTGAATGTACAGGGGGCTGAATCCATTGTCAAAAATGACAGTATACTTTATAGGATTTAATGCCTTGTGGGCAAGATAGCTGGAGGGTATATAATTCTAATCTCAAGAGGAAGGAATCAGCATGGGTTTATAGTGTTCCTTCCTGTTATGAAGTACACAGCCTTATACTAAGTGAAAGCCTAAATTTTTTCAATTAAAATTTTTTTTGGATTTTTTTTCTGTTTATGTATGTGTGTTTTCCCTGGGTATATATATCTGTGCACCATGTGTGTGCAGTTGCCTGCAAAGGCCAGAAGAGGATATTGGATCCCTTGCAACTATAGTTACAGATGGTTGGGAGCTGCCATGTGGGTGCTGGGAATTAAACCCAGGTCCTCTAGAAGAATAGCCAGTTCTTTTAACTGATGAGCTTAAAATTTCCTCCTCCTCCTCCTCCTCCTCCTCCTCCTCCTCC